GGCATGGAAAGGGATGGACAAAAAGTACACCCTCACAAGTCTAAATATGAACACAAACACTCACGCACACACACACACACACACACACGTACCTGCCTATAGAGAAGCACACACAGGAGAGAAAACCAATCCGGTTTTCGCGCCCAGGGTGGCCGCTGGAGACCCATTCTCGTTGTGGGGGTCTTCTCAAATTTCTTCTCGTCCACATTTTCCAGCCTCCAGTTGTGTTGGCGCAGCAGGGATGTTGTGATCCTGTATGGAGGCGGCGACACAGACAAACACAGTCAGGCCTGCAACAACTGCTGTTTATGTAAATGCTTGTGCAGAGTTGGCCTGGTCTGTACTCAAAAATGCACGTGGACGCACAGGCGATACCGTTTATCATGCAACCAGAGGGAATACACCTCGCGCTCTCACATGAGCTATTATATTCTTGCCCAGCCTGGGCCCACATGCTCGAAGCCCGGCCGGCCAGGCAGAAACAGCAGTCACGAGAGTAGATGGGGGCCGGTGGACAGAGCAGGTCTCTTCTTTCCGTGAACATGGTGTGATGCGAGTCTGAAGTAAAACTGCAGAAACGCCAGAAACCGCGGCAATAGGCCAGTGCGCATATGCTCTTTCGGTTCACAATGGGACCAGGAGGCCTTCCGTGCCTTCTGTGTCATGGTGTGTACTGTATACAAGGCGCGAACACACTCACAGGCACATGCTTGTGTACGTGCGTGTTTGAGCTGATCAGATGATAGAAGCCGAAAGTGTATGTTGTATAAAAGACATACACAAACATATGCACATGCACATGTGTGTGTGTGTGTGTGTGTGTGTGTGTGTGTGTGTATGTTGGTTCGATAAAAGTAGCCTATGGTGCATGTTGTATAAAATACACACAAATGCACATAAACACAATAACATATTTGTATATATATGTGTCTATGTGTATGTGTGTGTGTGTGTGTTGATTCGACAGTAGGAACCTATCATTAATTTTGGCCACTCCCTCTCCAATGAGGATGCAAATTTGATGTTAAAGATGATATAAAGAGATTCTGCAGGAGCCTGACTTGAACGCCATCTTGGACGGTGGATAGGGTAGGGGTGGAGAGTAGAGGGAGGGGAGACTCGCCTAGAGGCGGAATTGAGCCAACGGGATGGCACCGTGTATGAGATGGATGGTGGGGCTGTAACTGTTGGAAATCCTCGGCAAAGTGTTGCATAATGAGCCAGTACGAGAGTGGATACATAGACAATCAAACCATGTACAGAAATAATGTCAAAATCGTCTTTTTTTTAGTCAAATGTAGAATGAAATAATTGAAAAATTGATTTTTTAGCTCTGTGGCAGATCATTTTAGTGAATAATTCAATCGAGGCATGTTTCGTTTACCTGCACAATACTAATAGCTGAATATGCGATAAAAATGCATGGATCTTACAGATCTTAGCTAATTTTTAATGTTCGCCTTGTGATACATTCACTGATGAGTGATAGATTTATATCTATGGCGAATAAAACCTTGACTTAACTTACAAATTTCACTTAAGCAAGCAGACAAAATGATTGTTCTTTTCTGGATATATGGCAATAATAATGGCGTCCGGGTCAGGCTAGCTTCTCGTCGAGACTCGAACAAGGGATTTTGGGCTTTAGGGGTTTTTTCTAATCTAATGTTTATAAAGTGACATGAGCAATGCACTTTTGTGAACCAGCAAATGTCTATCTCGCCTTCAATTGCGGAAAGTCATTGATACCAGAGAGTCCAATGACAACGGCGTCTGTCCTCGAAACGGTACATCCTGTCTTCGAATGCAGCTGAAGAATAAGGCGTCACTTTTTAGCGATAGATCAAGTCTTCTTTTCGACTCATCGCCTAAATTAAATGAGACTTTTCACATTCAAAAAACAATATTACATGATTTATACTTTCATACGCAGGTTTTCAAGACGACCGGTAGTTCATTTATATGAGGTGTATTCACCCAATTACGATTAGGATGATAAGGGGATTGGTAGTTGAATTTTTCCACAATCGTATGAGTAGACTTTATGTTTTCATTGGATTTCACACAGCTTTGCCTTCTCAATAGGTGTTCTGATGCAGAATGGACTGCGATTTCGACCTCGTCTAAATTGGTCTCATCAGAATCTCCAGTGGGACTTGAACCATGATAATACAGCGTGTAATCTCGACATCTTAACTACTAAGCCACACTGCCACAAGTGATCTTGAGTCACAGGATGGGTGGGAATTTCAAGGGGGTCAGGTATTTTCATATATAACATTCTGTGGTGGAATTCTCGATGAGGCAATGTTGTATTTGCTATAGCAATAGTTTACACTAGCTATTTTTGTTTTATAAACAGGTTTTTGAGACTACCAGTAAATCAGATATACGAGATGTGTTCAGATGTGTGTAATGGTAACATGTTGAGATTGTACCATGCACTAAGCGGGTTTGTTTCCCTCTGGAGATACTGATCAGGGATGGTCAGGTGAGGTCGAAACTGCCGTCAATTCTGGAGGAGAATACCTATTGGGAAGAAAGGCAAAGTTGAAATTCATGTATTA